TAGTAGCGAGACTGACTGATGACACCGCGAACACACATGTCCATCAATGTCGTGAACGAGTGCAAGTGTCAGCATATGCATGTGTGTCTATTATTGGCAATCATTTATTTTCTTATGATTAATCAGAAAAAAAATATTTAAGCTCTTTATAAAAATATTTAAACATTTTAAACATTCTTATTTGTCTTCAAACAATGCAACGAAAAGCTATCAAATTGTCCTTGGAACTTTAATGACTTACAAATTTTTATAATAACTATCGTGAGACATACTAAATTAACTAAAATCGCGGGTTACTCACGTAAATACATAGAAAAGCTCAACTAGTTTCGAACCACAGAGGGGTTCTTCACTGTCGTTCTTTGCTCACTCAGTGAGCTACTCGACGTCGCCGCGACCGCGCACGCTGTTCATGAGGAAGAATCCCTCTGTGATTCGAAACTAGTAAACCACGTACATAACCCGCGATTTTAGTTGACATACAACTTTATTTAACTTATTATATAGAAGTTAGCTCACCTCTTTTCTATAGTATTTTCTTCTTCTAATAGAATCTGTCAATTCTTTTGTGTTTTTAAAGTCATAATTTTTCTATTGTTAAAATGTCTCCACATTATATTATATTTTAATTTTAATAAAATAGTTTATTTTATTTTTTAAATGTTATTTACTTTCCGCCGCATTGGTAGACCTCCAAAGTGGAAACTCCCTAAAGTGGTGACTCCCTAAAATGCTTTGATTTTGACTTTGAAAAATGGTGGTATTGATTCGACCCGAGTGATACCACAGTCTCACATCGGCGTGAAACAACGCTTGCGTTGTTGTTTTGCCGTGTGAGTGAGATTACTGGAGGCCCAATTGCCCGCGTTCCTGATCAATCAAATCTCCTAATTCCTTGTCTATCCTCAAATCATTAACCCTTTAAACGCTGGCGACGGTGACGCACTAATAACTACAAAAGGGTGTTTCGAATGTCCATATATGACACCGATTGCTTATTATCAGGTGGTTCGTCTACTCGTTTACCGATCTCATCATCATCATCATTGTTCATCCCGTGTTCATCCACTGCTGGACATAGGTCTCTCCAGTGCCACGCCACTGAGCTTGGTCTTCAGCTTTTCTCACCCAACCACTGCCAGTCACCTTATGGATGTCGTCAATATATCATAAAAAAAATTACAGACCTATTATTTAAAATATTATTTCTTAATTACTCGATTTAGATTGTCATCACTTAGTAATAGATGTACTTTATAAAAATAAAAATTTACCTACCTATGAAGTTACAATAAACTTTGTTCTAATAATAATAATTGGTTAGATGTTTTCATATGAAAAACCCATTATGTTCTTAATAATTGTAGGTGGTAGTGACAAACATGAAGACTTTTTTTTTTTTTCTTTTTTTTAAGGGGGGAAAATCATCGAATGACTGCCCCCGCCTGGGTGAGGCGGGAGGGAGTGTCAGACTCTTACTGACTAAAAACCACCCCGTTCCTTCTCCTGCACGTCGAGCCGGAGCCCCGGTTACCCGTTAGGTTCTCCGCGACTCCGAATCGGCATCGGCCCTATTGGGCCCCATCTGTGGTGGTCTGATGGCTCTTTGAGGCGCGCGCGGAACGCGACGCGCCGTACGCTCGGGTCTGTTTCTGGTCGGACGGGGAGCCACCCATGCTCGCCGTCCGCAGGCCCGCGCTTACGGTGGCCGGAGATCGTCCCGCGATCCCCGACGCCCGGTGTGTCCTTCGCGATGGCTGGGTTGCGAGGAGGCAGCGCTTCGCTGCCTCACGCGTCCCGCCTCCTCCTTAGCTAGCATGACTGCTTCGCAAAAGGAGGAGACGGCATCCCAATCCCCCTCGCTCCGCATCATGGCCTGCACTAGGCCCGGACGCGAGAGGTCGCCATCGCCGATCACTTCCCTGAGGACACGGCGGTGCTCAGCCCACGAAGGGCATTCTCCCACCGTGTGTTCCACCGTGTCCTCAGGGCGGTCCTCGCAGTGATGACACCCGGGCGTTTCCTCCCGCCCCATCAGACACAGGTACCTCCCGAAACTTCCATGTCCGGTGAGGACCTGCGTCAGGCGGTAGGTGAGGACGCCGTAGCGTCTCTCAAGCCACTCCTCAAAGAGGGGACTTACCGCTGCGATGGCAGCGAGCCCAGCCCTCGGTTGCGACAGTCGTTGCTGCCATTCCGCCATGAGATCGCGCCGGAGCTCATCCCGCCACGCACTTATCTGGCGCGGCAGCGGAGTTTCGCCCCGGCGACGTGCCTCCGCGCGCATGCTGTACACGCGCGCGAGCACCTTCGCCTCCAGATCCCACGGCGGTAATCCGGCAAGGAGGTTCGCCGACTCCACAGAGATCGTGCGGTATCCGCGGATCATTCGGATCGCCATGACCCTCTGTGCCATGAGCAGCGTCCGAGCGGGACGCCGCAACAGGTTTGGCGCCCAAACAGGGGTGCCGTAGAGGGCCATGGACCGCACGACCCCGGAAACATGAAGACTACAGTGAAGATGATCAGATGTACAACAATGAATTATTGTAAAGACAACGTTTCTAAGCACAAAGTGGATAAAGATATACAAAGAATGCTACAGCCCCTTAATCTGATGAAAATACTTAGCATGACTCCGAAATATTGCCTCAAAGACGATATGATACAACCAAATAATTTTCGTTCGCATATGATCTCCCTAACTGTAACATTGTCCATTATTCTAATGTTTATACTTCATTACATTGAAACATGGAATATCAATCTCATTGGAGTGACTTTCTTTATGCTTTTTATGCATTGCTTTGACCTTATCTTTTATAATATAGGTATCATTGTGAATTATTTATTTGGATTGCTGAAAATCAAGAAGTCCATTGAGTTTGTACTTATCTTTCAAAATGTACACAGGTTTATTAATGACAATAGTACTTTTAGGTCCTTTATTGTTTGGAATTGGGTTTTTTTGTTTTCAGGTTGTATTCTTTACTTTTTCATTTTTACCATTGTTTTAATTTTTATTCAATTAAATGTTGTGCTCTTTTTGTCAACGTTGCTACTGATTATATTCGACTTGAATGAAATTTACGCCATTCGTATTATAAAATTATTGGAAATGAAAATTAATTTGTGGAGTCACAGCGTTCTACATATTCACGACACAGAGTTGGATGGAAGAAATTTTAACCAAAAGTTATTCCAAGCTTACGTTGACATATTGAATTGCTATAATATTCATAAAGATTGTATGCAATACAACGTAAGTGACTTATAGTTGCCACTGCCCACTGCTAAGCAAAGCCTCTTCTCACATGGAGAAGGCTTGAGCATTAATTACCTCGCTTGCTCATTGCAGGTTGGCAATTTCAAAGTTATTTTATTTATTTTTTATTTATATTTATTCATTTACATCAGGCAACGAAGGCCCATATTAATACAATAATACTATAACATAAAACATAAAATACTATAAATACACAATTATATAAGTTATTAATTTAAATCGTTGTTACACACGATGTGCGTGGTGTCATGTTACGCTGGTCGGTGTCACGTAGGCGACCTCGAAAACGTCGATATATGACACCCTTCGGCCAAAACTCTGCCTCCAGGAATTTGTCGAGATGTTGAGTCGGAACTCGCACTACTTCTTATAGTGCCTCTTCAATGTTGAAGGTCGGCCGTCAGCTTCTTGTATTTCTCCTTGTCGGTAGCCATGCGGAACAATTGTTCGACAGATGTAATGCCGGTCCACTCCCGGATGTTTCGCAGCCACGATTTTCTTCTGCGCCCAGCACGTCTCTTCCCCTCCACTTTGCCCATCATGATCAGTTAAGCTGTGAATATCTATCGTGTCTAAGCACGTGACCGAGATATTCGATTTTTCGCTTTTTGATGGTCAGCATAATTTTGCGGCTCATTTGGACGCGCTGTAGCACAGACTCGTTGCTGACCCTTTGTGTCCAGCTGATCCGGAGCATACGACGGTAACATCACATCTCGAATGCGTTTATACATCTCGTAGTGTCATCCTTCACGGTCTACGCTTCACATCCGTACATGACTAGAGGCCAGATGTAGCAGCAGAGTAACCTAACTCTGAGCGTAATGTTTATTTGACGACAACACAGAACTTTCCTCATTTTGTTAAAAGATGCTCGGGCAATTTCTATCCGGGTCTTAATTTCTTGATCTGATTCCCATACTTCATTTACCCAAGCACCGAGATACTTGTATTGTCGTAGCCGTTCGAGTGGTTTGCCATCTATGCTTATAATTGGGTCAAGATCAGAATTTCTGGAGACAACCATCAACTTGGTTTTACTGATGTTAATAGACAGACCGGCTTTCTCGCTTGTCTCGTTGACTTTATTTACAATTGTCTGTAAGTCACGTTCCGAAGCAGCAACAAGAACCGTGTCATCTGCATATCTGAAGTTGTTTACCAGCGTGCCATTAATCTTTACTCCAGCATCGAGGTTTTCTAATGCTTCAGACATCACCACACTCGCACCACAAACGACTTGAAATTGGTATTATAACGCGGTTCCAACCTCTCGACCCTTAAGGTCCAATTGGTCTTCATCTCCACATACTCCACGATCTACTCAAACTTCGTGTAGTGGTGTAATCGGGACACATACAGCAGCGTCGTAGGCACAGCTGGACGCAGCATGTTAGGTCCGGTCAGTCCGGTACCGCGTTGATTGCGTGAAGTAGGCTTCTTCTTTTCAACTTTAATGAAGCCCTCCTCATCACACACAGGCTTTTTGGACAGCGGTGTATCCGAATCCTTGTTACGGCTTCACGGCGAAGGTTCTGAATACCCCTTTTGGCTGCTTAGATTGTGACGCAACTGTTTTGTTTGCGGCAGTAATTGCGGCGTAAGCTACTTTGGGGGTCGACATAGCTTCACGTAACGTGTGCTCTGCACGTGGAGAGACACGGAGCGCGTCGGGACACACTGACTGAAGCATTTTGCGCCTCGCGACGTGTGTTCAAACAGCGTTGCGTAACAACACTATTTCAGCATGCAGTTCCTGGATGGTAGTGTCAGACGTGTCCAACTTGCTCTGCATCTGGGCCAAGCTTGACTCCAAGGATGTGATATCCTTTAGTAGCCTGGTTACATCTACGTGGTCGAATGTGATGGGCGGCAACTTATGTAGCTCCTTTGTCACGAATGTCGGCACGTAGTCAGGGTTAGCCGCCTTCAGAAAAGTGTTGATGTCTTGGACGCTCTTATCCGTACCATCTCTCCTCCTCGGTGGCATTTGGTCGAGCTTCCCAGTCGTCTGGTAGAGTAGCATCTTCCCTTTGCTGATCTCGTCTTCTTTGAAACTCGACCTATAAATCTGCATGATGCTGTTTTCGTCCATGGTGTCGATAGCATTTTGTATAAACGCCAATAGCTCGTTTGCGATAAGTTGTTGCGAACTCATTGCGAAATATCGGGCAGCGACCTACGCCGCGAGCTTTACATACAACTGCAACACGTCCGTATTCGAGCGCACATCACACGGACCAGAAATTATATATCCTGGTTTTCTCACGATGTTTTCCATCACCGTTTGTCAGTAACATAACATCACGCCTTTTATCCCCGTAGGAGTAGGCAGAGGTGCACAGAACTAACACCCACTTTTCACTATTTATGTTATGAGTCCCATGTAATAGAGGTGAGTTTGTCGTTTGTCAGTAGTGTCTCAATAATCTTAGAAAAAAACATAAAATCGGAAAAGGTCACATTGGTACTCGTTGTTGGTAGTTTTCGAATCGGCATTCTCATGCATGAGAAGCGGGCGTGTGTCGAGCAGAGATCCGGGCCACCAAGACATTTAGTATAACACTTTTAGTATTATACTTTTTAGTTTATTACTGATGGACTCTTTGCAGGTATTTTATTACTTGGATCTAGTATTTATTTACAATCTAGTTGACGTGGAGCTAATAATTGAGGCATTTCAAATTGGCTTGATTTACAATGACTTGGTGAGTGTTTTTATAATAACTTTACTACTTTTTTAATTGTCCGTCTTATCAAATTATTGACGTTTATTACGTCCATGCTTTTGTATTTATTTATTTGGTTTTAATAACACACCTAATGCTTTGGAATGAAAGTTATAATTGGTTGATTAAATAGTTAAAAAAGTTTCTTCAAATGTGAAATTTGAGTGCCTTTTTTTTGAGAGGGGACAATCATCCAATGACTTCTCTCTGGCTGCCTCCGCAGCCATGGGTGAAGCAAGAGGGAGTGTCAGACTCTTGTTAATTAAATACAACCCCGTTCCTACTGTTGCTCTTCGAGACTGAGCCCCGGCACTCGTGACGTTCTCCGTGACTCCGTATCGGCATCGGCACTACCGGGCCTCATTTATAGTGGGCTGATGGCTCTGTGAGCATCCGCAGGCACGTGCTTACGGTGTTCTTTATGAATAAATCAGAGGCCGAAATGCGGTAACGTTTCGATTGTGTCAAACTAAAATAAAACTCGCAATAATTACTCAAAATGCGAATAGGCAATAAAATACATCAGTATTACGTATTTTCCAATTAAAACCCAGAATGCTATACTTATATTTAAGGATATGACATTTTTTGGAACTCTCTGCGCTGTTTCGTGGATGTTAAAGAATTGTACATGGCAGACAATACTAAATTGGCAAAGTGAACAATTCTACATCGCTGTGCAAAAGGCTCAAGATGCTTGTGCTGTTATTTTAATGTCAGATTGTTCTGGTAAGTCTTAATTTTATATACAGCGAGTGAGGTTACCGGAGCCAATCTCCTCAATCCCTGAATCCCCAACAATCCTATATCCTATATCCCCAAAAGGCACGGTAACGCACTTGTTACGCCTCTGGTATTCTGGGTGTCCATGGACGATAACGATTGCTTACTATCAGGTGATTCGTCTGCTTGTACTAAATCAAAATTTTGAATAAATACCTATATACCACCTCGATTACTAAGCAACATTGATTCAATTAATCAATCTGATCTCTTCTACGAAAATTATTAGCCTATCTCAATCCAAAATCTGTGGATATGGATCTGTTTTTGATACTAGTTTGTAAGGAGTTTCTAATCCATAGATTTAGGATTAAGCAAACACGTTGAAAAAAGGGGAGAAATAATGTCACTTGGAAATCATTGAAGCACCGAAATGCTAGTGGGTTATTTAAGTGTGCGTATGTAATGGGTTACCACGTTATCAGAATTAAAAAAAATTACAGATGTCCTTCATGTCAATGTGTTTACATATGTTCTGCGTATAAGTCTATAGTAGTCAGGTCCCACAGTCATTGTTTCAAGAGACTGTGTCCGCCCTTTTTTCAACATCCCTGTAAGATAAGTTGAATTACTACTTACCAGTGGCTTTAATATTTTTATCGCCTGCTTAAAAAGATAAAGATACAGCTTTCAAAATCATCACCAGCCGAAGACTGATTGCTAAAGAAAAACTTCTCCCTTAGTCTTTACGCCGAACTACAAGTTGCCACAATCTGTCTTCAATTTAAAGTTTCGGGCGTCTCTGACGAGGTCCACTTAAAGGGAGACATGATAAAAATTCTGAGACTTGTAAAACTGCCAGTTTTAAGTTAGTAATATTTCACAGATGAAAAGAAACAGCTCTGCAAGAACGTGCTGCGCCTGCATCGAGCATCATTCAGCAAGATACGCGTGTGTGGCCTGTTCTACTTGGATGCTTCGTTACAACTTAGTCTGATGAGTCTAGTCGCTAACTACACTATCGTGTTGTTACAGTTCGCGTTATTGTAATTAAAGCTTTATTGCAATCACTATTTAATTTATTAAATCCACGTTTTTATTCGAAAGTTCTTATTACTGTTGACAACCTAGTATTTATTTTAAATAGCGACCCATTTTTTTAATACAAAGTTAATACAAAGCTACTTCATACAATACCCGACCAGAAGTTTACCTAATTTGATCTTTTAGAAGTAATGCCATTACACAGACATAGTTTCAAGGTCATTTTAGACGTTTAATTTATGTCGTGTCACTATTGTCTGTAAGCTTCATATTTGTAAACGTAACATGTAAATAGTAATTTATAAAGTGGGAAGAAACACATTTGATAATGACTATTGGTCGACAGTAGACAGCCTTCAATAAGATAGCACGACCTTGAGGTTAGAGATGAACATAATAAAATTAAGAACTACTGCAAAGAAAATTCCAGTGATCAATATATCTAAGAATATCGTCGATAAAGACGTGCAGATATTACTATTTCCCTTGAACCTGATGAAAATTGTTGGCATGACTCCTAGATATCGACTCAAAAATGACGCGATACAGCCAAATACACTTCGTTCATATATTATTTCATTACTTGGAACAATGTTCTTTATTATCTCATTTATATTTCGTTATATTTACATTTTATGCATGGAAATCGGAGGCAAAACTTCTTTCATGGATTTTATTATTCATTCTGACATTTTGTTTTATATTATAGCTTTTGTCATCAACTTCATTACTGGGCTACTTCAAATCAAGAAGTCAGTCAAGTTTGTCCTTGTTTTTCAAAGTGTGCACAGGTTTGTTAACGACAAAGATGTTTCTAGGTCTTTTATTGTTTGGAATTGGATTTGTTTGAGTATTGATTGTATTCTCTATTTTTTTATTTATTCCGGACTGGCCATTTATATTGGTACAGAGTTTATAATAGTTGTAATTAGCAATTTACTAATCATATTTGACTTTAATGAAATTTACACTATTCGTATCCTGAAATTGTTAGAAACTAAAATAATTTTGTGGACTCATAGAGTTCTAAATGGTCAAGATATAGAAAATGGTGGAAGGATTTATAACAAAAAACTGTTCCAAGCTTATGTCGATATTTTAAAATGTTACAATATTCATAAAAGTTGTATACAATTTTTTGTAAGTATAATTTTATTTTGCTGTTTTTCATGGGTTATCATTTATTTACCTTTAATTATACATAATTATTTTCAGGCATTACATTTCATATTTATAGTATTTGTGCATACTCTTATATACGTTCAAGCTTTAATTGAGATTTTTCAATACAGCCATACACCATATTACAATGAGATGGTGAGTATCAATATACCTACTTTTAACTAGATATTTTTCCAGTAGATAGTGTTTCTATAGATGTGCAATTATACATACAAACGTTTAATGTGTGGATCGAAAGTTTGTTTATGAAGAATCAACTAGCTTCATGATGGATATAACCTTTAAAATAATCACACACCAAACAAGCACGTCTTATGGCATATTTCATAACGTCAATTGAATAAAGCCGACGGCGCGCGGTCAGCGTGCGGTCCTCTCGAGACAGCGCGCCGGCAACGCGCCGTCCGCGCCGGCAACAAGCCGACGATAAGCCGCGCGCCAGGCATGAGTAAAATAACGACGCATCGTAGGTAGGTGTGTGTTCTGCTGAGCTGAGCACGACAAAACGGGCGAACGGACGAACACGGCTTAACACGGCGGTGTTCTCAGGGATGTAATCGGCGACGGTGACCTCTCGCGTCCGACACTGGTGCACACCATGTTACGAAGCGAGGGAGACTGGGATGCCGACTTCTCCTTCTCCGAAGTAATCATGTTAGCTAAGGAGGCGGCGGGATGCATGAGGAAACGAACCTCCTCACGCCCCAGCCGTCGCAAAAAACACTTCGGGCGTCGGGGATCACTAGACGATCTCCGGCCACTGTAAGCAAGGGCCTGCGGACGGCGAGCTCGGGTGACTCGCCACCCGACCAGAACCAGACCCGAGCGTACGGTGCGTCGCATTCTGCGCGCGCAAAGGAGTCATCAGACCACCACAGATGGGGGCCAATAGAGCTGATGCCGATACGGACTTAACGGGTTACCGGAGCTCCGACTCAAAGTGCAGGAGTAGGAACAGGGTGGTTGTTAGACAGTAAGAGTCTGACACTCCCTCTCACCTCACCCGGGTCATTGGACACAGTCATGGAATGATATTCCTCCCCTCAAAAAAATATATAAAAGGCAGTTATAATTCCTCTAGTGTTAACGGCATTATTATAATAAGCAATTTTATTTAAGGACATGTCAATTTTGGTGATCATCACCGTAGTTTCCTGGCTATCAAAGAATTTCATATGGCAAACAATACTCAACTGGCAATGTGAACAATTCTATATAACTGTTGGGAATGCTCAAGATGCTTGCGCTTTTATTTTGACGACTAATTACTCTGGTAAGTCGTCATATTTAATTTTGTTCTTCGAGTCATCCTAAAGAAATATAGTTAGAACCCTATGTCAGATGCTACCAAGCGTAAAATTGCAATGGCATGCAAGTCGATGTCTCATAAAACACCTTTCGCCAGCCGCCAGTTCCATGTGACCGTTCCGTGTGATCAGCTCACGAATATCCAGGAAAAATTTATATGAATTACCTCAAC